GAGTCAAACGAATCAAATTATCCAAATATCTCATTATATAATTTAGAAAAAATACCATTTCATCGGGGCATGTCTATGGCATGTTTGAATATAAATCGTTTATTTGCCCATATAGATGAATTACGAGTATTTATGAGTAATAATAAAGTAGACATATTATGTATTAATGAGACCAAACTTGATTCATCAATTAATGACAATGAAATCCATATACCAAATTTTGAAATCATTCGAAGAGACCGACGTTACATTAAAAGTAATATTAATTACAAAATACGACATAATCTACAATCTGAAACTCTCGAAAATCTAGTTGTAGAAATTAAGAAACCACGATCTAAGTTTATCCTGGTTAGTACATGGTATAGACCTCCAGATTTACCTACTAGTTACTTTGCCGAATTCGAGCAAATGATTGGATCGTTCGATGCTGAAAATTTAGAGTATTTTCTGCTTGGTGATTTAAATGTTGATTTTACCCCAACAACCGAGTCAGCGAGCAAGAATAAAGTAAAAGAAATACTTGATATATACGATGTCGAACAATTAATAAACGAACCGACAAGAATTACTGCTGCATGACCATTCATTAATATATATGATACGTAAGGCTAACTATATACGAGGGGGCCCCAGAACGATAGATGCTAGAACAATGAAGAACTTCAACAGAGAATTGTTTCTAAGCGACCTTGAACTAAACCATAGGGATAGTGTCTATTGCTCCCAGGACCTTAACGAAATGTTTGATGTCTGGAAAAAAATGCTCATGAAAACCATAAATAAGCACGCACCACTTAGATCCAGGAGAATTAGAAATAGAAAATCTCCCTGGATTACAAAAGATTTAAGACGCCAGATATTTAACCGAGATTACCTAAAAAAGAAAGCTGTTACATCCAATGATCCTAAAATCTGGCATCAATATCGACAAACTCGAAATCATATTAATAATGAAATTAAAAAAACTAAACAAGCTTATTATAAGAATAATCTTGAATCGAGTAAAGGCAACATGAAAAAAACATGGAACCTTATAAATGAACTAAGCTCTAGAAATGTAAGCAAAACTAAAAAGATATCACAATTAGATTTTGAAGAGCGAGACATAACTGCACCTGAAGAAATAGCTGAAACATTTAACAGCTACTTCTCAGGTATTGGTGAAAAACTTGCTTCCGATATTCCTGCTCCTGTGCGTGATCCAGTATTTTATCTTAAACCAACTGATAAATCTTTCTCTCTCAAAACTCCCTCCGTTAACACAGTTTATCAACTGCTGACTACATTAGATGATAAGAAGTCAGCTGGTTTGGACAATATACCAAACAAATTCCTAAAGATAGCTGCAAGTGTTATTGCACCCTCGTTAACAGGAATATTCACTGCATCTATTAATACCGGAATATTCCCGTATGAATGGAAGGCAAGCAGAGTAACGCCAGTATTTAAGAGTGGCACAAGAACTAACCCAGGCAACTATCGGCCTATATCAATTATTCCATGTGTTGCTAAAAATTTTGAAAAAATCATTTTCGATCAACTACATGGGTATCTTGATTCAAATAATTTGCTGAACACATGCCAATCTGGATTTCGACCGTTCCACAGTACCCTAACAGCGTTGCTAGAAGCCACAAGCGACTGGTCCATGAATATTGACAATGGCCTAATTAACGGAGTTGTATTTATTGATTTAAAGAAAGCTTTTGATACGATCGATTATCAAATTATCCTACAAAAGCTTAAAAATAGGTACGCAGTGCGTACATGTTGCATGCCATCTGAAACTTATGCGCTACAGCGTTTACATAAACCTTTGGTACAACTGGCGTGAAACTTAAAATATTGATCATTCAATAAGTTTAAAATATCAATATATTTATTGAAAAATAGCTATTATGTCAAAATAAGAAAACTTAAGATTCTCACGCGAATTAGCATACGGTGTAGACCCCAGCAGAAACACGCGAATAGGCAATGTTTTTATAAGCGACCGTTAAGCGACCGTGCAAGCGACGGTAATAATAACAATAACAAGGACAAGGTGGGTCAAGGTTTTATCAAATTTATAACGAAATAATGTTATTTCCTTTAAATTTAGCTTTATTGTAACTTTTTAAAGATGCTGTCAAGTCCGTTCTGCGGTTCTGCTCATAACAAAGGGGGACCCACAGATGTAAACATTGCCCAAATTTCGCATCTTTTGAACTTTTTCTGAATTGAAACTCTGGTTTATATTCATTTACGAGCGTACTAAACCAGAACAGTGTTATATATTCAGTTAGTATATCATATTTTACAAATATAGCAGTTCGAAATGTAAACAAAGCATTTGTTTACATTACGGACTTGACAGCACCTTTAAAGGTATAAAAAACCGTGAAAACGGTGAATTAGTATAATAGATTGAAAATGATTATTATTGATCATTTTGACGTTTGAGTGATTGAAATGAGTTTATTTACACTATAGTATATCGAATGTCATGTTGAATGTCATGTTGAATCTTATGCGTACTTCACAATGGTTGCTATTTCGTTGTATAATTGTATTAAAGGTGTTCTACAGTCCGTATGTAAACAAAGCCTTTGTTTACATTTTTGTGTCCAAAATATTGAGCTTTATTCGACAACTATTTATATTTTCAAGCTTCTAGAGTATAATAAATGATCAAGAAACAATAATCAGGCTTTTCAAGAACCCAAAACATAGTTAAACTGTTTGTATCATAAAAAGTGGACCCCTTTGTGCACATGCGCAGATCGGACTGTAGATCACCTTTAAATTTCAAAATATTTATAATTCAGATTTTGTTTGATATTTATATATCATGTTATTTACAAAATGTGCTGTAGTTTTGAAGCTTTGCACACAATATAATCAGTGCGAGCACAATGGCCCCGTTTCAGTTTGAGTATATAAAAATCGAGTATTTTGATAGGGTTCGCGGCTTTCACGATATATAAATATAAACGCCCGATAATTGATAAATATAAATCAGTGCGAGCACAACGGCTCCAAAATAACAACAAATAACAGAATATAAGATAAGCTAAAAACAGTAAAGCTTTACCTACCTCGATTTACTTTTCTAAAGCGCTCAATTATGTAAATTTTCGGCGAATAATCAACTCTTT